GAAAATTGCCAACGTAATGTAGTTAAAAATTCATTTGTTTTAAAACCATCTTGTAATGATTTCTTAGGCTAGCTTGGTATAGCCCTTCGGTATAGGCAATAGTCTTAACTGGTGAGGCAGACCGCACTTGGGCACCCTAGGGGCAGCCAAGTGATCATCAGGAAATTTTAAAGCCAGATTATGATTAGTTGCAAACAGTTAATCGATTATAACTGACAGTGTTGTTGATAATTGATTTATATCAAAATTAATAATAATCATATAATGATAAAAATCGATATTAAATCTAATTTATTATAATCGATAGTAATGATTTATCAATTATAATCGATATAATCTAATTGATTATAATTGATAGCAATGATTTATATCAATTATAATTAATAAAAAATCTAATTGATTTTAATCAATGGTGGTGATTATAATTGGTTAAAATCTTTAGATTTTAATCGATTATAATCTAATTTTAAAATTTTCTGATGATGTCAGATCTGTAACTTAAATAATTTAATTGTACCTTGTGCAAATGCTTTGATCTAATAAAGAAACTGGCGAGGCTGCCGATACATCAAAAAAAAAAAAAAAAAAATAGTATTATTATATAGTATTATTAAAAGATATTTAAACCCTTCCTTTTCTTTCAAGGCAAAAAGATATTAATATATACAGTCAAACCTCTATAAATGCAATATGCATAGACCAACCTAAAACATGCATTTAGAGAGGTTTGTATTTAGAGAGAGCCAATCAAATTGCAGTTTTTAATATTTGATCTGCAGACTTGTGTAACAAACTTAAATACTGACTTCTGATTGGCTATGTGCACTTAGAGAGGTTAGTATAATATAAAAAATCTTTTAAGTGAACATGTATTTGCAGAATATAGAATATGCATTTAGCACTAATAATTTCATATAGCCAAGACAAAAACGTGTATTTAGGGAGGTATTGCATTTATAGAGGTTGCATTTAAGGAGGTCTGACTGTACTTCACACTTATTTGTTTGATAATTTTTATCGTTTTAGAGTATATTTAATCCTTATCTTTGATTATTTTCTTGTGATAAAACCTTGTATATTTTTTTAGTAATAAACTGTAATTCTATAGTATTTTTATAATGGGCTTATTATATTTTTATAGTAAAATTATTGGTTTTTTTTTGATATTTTTTATTTATACTTGGGGGGCTTCCACTTATTATGTAAATATAACCCCTCTGAGGTTGTCAATTAACTATTTCCAAGGGCCCAGAGTTAGTTATTTGACAATTACAAAAATTAAAATAATTAATAAAAGAATTATATAAATCTTGCATATTTTATAACCCCTTGCATATTTTTATATACCCTTACATAATTATAAAATATGCAAGATTTATATGTATAATTCTTTTATTAATTACTTTAATTTTTGTAATTATCAAATGACTAACTCTGGGACCCTTGAAAATAGTCAATTGACAACCCCAGAGGGGTTATATTTACATAATAAGTGGAAGCCCCCTTGAGTAAAACTAGTTATTTTTGATTTATTGTTTAGTTATTTTATAATACAGTATTTGTTTTAGTTTTAGGCTTTTCTTATATTTTTCTTATATAAACATATTTCTTGATGTGTTAAATCAAGTAATATATTTGTTTGACTTAACTGGCAACAATACATTTATAATTGATCTATTTAAAACTTGGTTAAGCCAAGCAGACATATTACAATATATCCAAATTTTTTAAAAAAAACTTTAAAGTTTGATCTAACCGGATTATAAAACCAATTATTAATATTTTTTGTATTTTTTTTATTAATATATATATCGATATATAATTTATTTTAAATCCTTTTTATAAATCCAAATCTTTAACAAACAATAAACAAATTTTAGAATGATAATAACTTCTGCAAACGACTTATAACAAAAACAAAGACTAAATCCCAATATTATAAAAAAAAATTTTGATTAAAAAAAAGCAATTTTTTAAATTTTGAGCGAAAATATCCTCAACAACCGAACCACCTGTCAAAAAATCGATGAAATTTTTTTTTATTTCGATCTATGACTATAACAATAAAAAAATTTATTAATGCAGTCTTCTAGATATCTTCATTTAGAAGTTCAAAAAATTACATTTAGGTTGATTTGTTATAGGACCTCCTGCATCACCAGTCAAAAAAAATCTCTACCAGCGTTACCGGTAGAGTCTGGTTGGGTTTGGGTGTATTTTTTTTTGATTTTATGTTACACCCGATCTTGAATTTTTTGATGGCTAGGAAACTATTTAACCTAGGTATGGCAGACGTATTACTGTATCGATAGTAATTCTCATTTTTAAGACGCTTTACGGGAGCATGAGTATATAGCACAAAACTTGAGAAACTATTGAGTGAGTAAAAACTTACCCGGACACTGCTTTTGTTCATTACTAATTCAAAAACAGTTCGTCCACTTTGAGGTGATTATTTCAAATTTTATACGATCAAAGAATTCATTTAAGAGAACTACCTGATGAAATTTAACAATGAGTCCATCTGTTCGATGATCTTAAAATTTAAGCTCTAATTTTTTACTGATAGTTTCTTTGTGGAATAATCTACACTTATTTATTTTTAATATCATTTTATTAACGTTTATTTTATTATATTAATCTAAATTAGGTATGCAAATAAAATCAAGAGGATGACTCAAAAGATGAATTAATTATATATCTTTTTGCGAAATTCTACAATAAATTCAATATTAAAGTGAAAGCGTTTAATTATGCTCTCCTTCTTTACCGTTATATAATAGTAATATTCGCGTAGAGAAAGCGTTAGTTCTTTAAATGTACTTAATTTTATTATCTGGATGAAAATATGATCTATGTAGCAACCGGCAAATTGAATGTAAAGACAGTATAATCATCAATCATGACAATTTTATATCATAAAATATATTTTATTTCATTATTGCATTACTCTGAGTTCTTTTAATAATTTAAGTGAATGTATCATAATATTATCTTTTATTATTTGAACATGTGGCACGTAGTTACACGTCTGGTGCTAGTTTTTTATATCTAAGTAGTTGTTGGTCTTTCTTCCGTATCTTGTGTGCCTCCTAAATTATGTTCTCTCAATAAAGCGTCAATTTCATCTGGTTTGTAAAGATGATATGAAACTTTTCCTTCTTCATTAAGACTGATTGTCGCAAATTCCACTATATATCAAATGAACAAAATCTTAAAATTCGAATTGGTCTTTTAGAAATAAATTAATATGTGCTTTGGAACAATATCTTACATTTTTCACTACTCAACGTGGTAGAATCCATAGTTTTGCTTAAAACTTTCGCCGCCAATTCTCTTGCTTCTTTAAGAGTAATTTCATCCTTATAATCTTGTTTTAGCAATGATTGGGCTGACGCGTTGTTTGCACCAATACATGTTGCTTTCCATCCACCGTAATTTCCAGATGGATCAGAATGATAAAGTTGAAAACCATAGTGACTATCATGTCCGGCATAAATAAATGAAACCCCAAAGGGACGAAGACCTTTAAAAGATAACTTGTAATTATATTGGTTCTATATTCTATTTCGGTAAGTTTACAAAAAGTTTTAATGATATTTGTTATTACCTCCGTATTGTGTATATCCTTGTTTTAAATCACACAATCTTTGTACCAACTGTTCAACAGGGATGTCTT